GCAGACAATAAATGGATGCAGGTGGATCAGGACTGTGCTTTGTGGCATTCCTTAGGGAACCCCATATTTAGCTGCGAACTTGTGAAGGGCTGTAAGGATGACAACGATAAAGTAATTATAAGAAATCACTATGACCCCCATCATACCAAATAAATGTAATGGTTTGAAATGTGCAATCATGTCACGTCAATCAGATCCTTATAAATTTATATATCGATTGACTGCCACGTTGGTCTAGTGGCAGTAAATGAGGTAAATGTTCATGAGATCCTGGGTTCGACTCCCGGGCCTGATCAAGGCTGGTCAGTTATTGGGTTTTCAGTCTGGAAGTTCGCGGTGTTTCAACCTCGTGCCTAGAAAGGTATGTAAAGCCGTTGGTCCTGCACCTGACCGTCCCATTGGATTACGAGAGGATTTTAGAACGCATCTGTGCTATTGCATACACTCGTGCACTATAATCCTGTCCTGCTCAGATGGCTAGTTTATGTTGATAATGGCCGCCGTGACCGAAACTCGGCCTGCAGGATATTGCATCTTGATGCGATTTCATCGAGATGACAATGGATTGGCGGTCATTTTGTTTGAAGTTGCTGTAACTACTAAACATAACGTCAAATTATTTACGGCTTATTTATGAAAAGCTGTTATTTCGATACATTGCTATTTTTTTAAATCATTGGGCGACAAACGAGGACACAGTCCACCTGATAGTACGTTGCTTTTTCAATTTCCCTCTATCGCCTCTTACGGAACCCACGGGATGATATGGGGTAGTACATATACCTACACTGCCACTCGTGGTACCAACTGATTATAATGTGGGTGGCGTAAAGACAAGATTGTGTAGTCCCTTGGCTGCATCATTACTTACCATCAGGTACTCAAGTACTCGCTTATAGTAGTTAAAAAAATCCTTTTCAATTAGATTTTTAACCAGTGTTTTGCTCCGTATTTAAAAAGAAGGGAAACTTAATATCTAGTACCTATATCTGACACTTCCACGATCCTTACCAAAATTAGCCGAAACCTTTAGTTAGAATAATTTTGGTTAAATTAAATTACGGAATTCGTTTGCAAGTGTACTCGAGTGTCGTGTCGATGGAAATTTCCAGACAGGAGACGGAAAAATAAACAAGGTAACTGGCAATGTTGCTTCTTTATCAACAACCTTCATTTAAATGAAATATAAATTATATTTAGAAATCCTTTATCAATTGTCCGCGATATTTTTAACTTCTCGTCATGAAAAATCAATGATTTGCAAAAAAAATGGGGAAGTTATTATTTTCACACCGGTTTTTTAAAATCGAGTTCTCTTCAGATCTCGATGTTTCTAGGTCATAGGAAGCTATTCTGGCGATTTCCGCGACGATGTCCGTATGTGTCTGTATGTATGTGTGTATGTAAACATCTAAACATCTCATAACTTTGTAACGGAGTGTCGGATCGAAAAGCAGTTTTCGGCATCTGAAATTACTTTGCTGAACTTAGATTTTCTGTGAATTTAGACCGAATTGTCACGGTTGATTCTGAGAAAACCTCAAATATTCGAGCTTTTTTTATTTTTAAAAAGTAATTTTCTTGTAATTACTTCGACATCCTTGTTTTGATCAATTCTATAATCTAGTCTTTCACTCAAAAAATCTTAAGCAAAAAATAATAAGCTTTTTTAGCTGAAAAACAATGCGTCGGTTACCGTAAATCACATCAAAATCGGTTCAATTTTTCGTTAAATATTAAATTTTGAAAAAACATAAAAACGTGGATTTCCAAAATCATGACTGCAAACGTCATAATAAGTGGAATTTGGAGCGCTTTTATATTGAAATTAGCGGGAAATTCCAGGAGTGGCCTGCAGGGTCAACCAATTTTTTATAATTCATATTGGTTGTTTTTTTTTGGACGATTCCTACAGGCCTTTAATCTTGTGAGTATCGTAAGAATGAACTATCCATTCTTCCACCCATTACAGCATATAAAAGGTGGGATTTTGCCATAGTTGACATGCTTGGCAAGCGAGTTGGTAATCACAGTTTTTTTTATTATTTCAAGTTGTTATCAAGAAGCAGCCCATCTCTCGATATGGCGTAGTGGATATTCCTACACCGCCACTACACGGTTATGTATTGGACTATTTTAAAGGCCATAACATAATCCATAAATGGTGGTAAAACATCTCGTGGGTAGATGTTATAAGTAGGTATACAGACTGATCACGGAAACCAATAATGTCCTCTAGACCGAATTTCGATCACGGCGGCTGGTTAAATGAAGGCCAGCCATCTGGGCTGCTACTGAGGATTTCTTGACAATAATACCCAACAACTGTTTTTGGCCTGACTTGGGATTCGAACCTAGGAGCAACAGAGTTAACGACCACTAGACTAACGAGGCAGTCGTAGAATATTAACACCTCGATAACGATACTAGAGGAATTCTCAGTGACAACCGAGATGTGTGTGCTTAGTTAGCCTTTTAGCTTTTACAGCTTTTTGTATAGAATAAGGGTGACAAACGAACACATAGTCCACCTGATGGTGAGTGGATGCTGTGACCCATAAACATCTATATTTATCTTTAATTATAAAGTCAGATAGAATTCAGATAGAAATCAGATAAGTTGTCACCCCTGAGGACTAAGATAGAATGCCTCGTATCCAATAAAAAGATCTCCGGTTCTCTACAGTTCCTTTACGAAACACATCAGTCTAGAACTGCAATTTTCCTAATATAGTAATAATGCAGCATGGTTCTACCACGTATAAGCTTCATCGGACTTAACTCGTTTTTAAAGAAAGAAAGAGAATTTCTTAAACGAACTACGTATCAGTTAAATAACTTTTATAAATGAATCCAAATACTATGAACAAATCAGATCACGTAGCTTCAATTCACCTAACTAGATCTCATATCATGGACTTACGTGTATACTAAAGCTTTAATATACTTCAAAAACAAAGTATCGTATTATTTTTTAAACTGTTACGATAAATTGAAACCATTTTAGCTGAATTCAAAAATCAGTTAACAACATTCCGATTTTTTGCGTAGATCGGACCGAAAAATTAATATTAAAAAACTGAAGGTAGACGGGCTAAAAATGACACTGGGACGTCAAACACCTCAGTCCCCGCCGACCATGAGTGCTGTAAAGCACCCGAAACGTCGGGAATTAAAAATAAGTAAAAGTAGTTAATTAAACGCGATAAAATCCGGAAATTTAGTTTTATTCAATAAAAATTTATTAGTAACAAACTTTATTGATAAAAAAATATGGTTTCACTTGTACCGCGTGTGAACTTGCACATACATATGTTTTTGTTTTCGTACGTATGTTCAAATCAAATCATTTATTTATAATCCAAGTGTATTTAATTTTTAAATTATAAATGTGCTTACAACTTAGACGCCCTTTTCAGACACTGCAAATTTGGCAAGGACACTGCTTATACATAAAATATATACTCAGAAGCTAGACAAATATAAAAATACATAATAGTGTTAGTTTATTTTATCAAAATACTCCTCTACTGAGTAGAAGAGATTTTGTTTTAAATATATACAGAGGCTTGATTGAAATTTGGTTAATCCTGTTACGTCTTTTTTTAATTTCTAGGGATAATTTATTATAATTTTTATTGCCATATAGTAGAGGCTTGTATTCAACATTTTTATTCGTGTTGTGGTAGGTATAATTTATTTTTGTTATGTTTATTATATTTTATGTGTATCTTTAATCTTCTTGAGCACATTATTATTTTTGTGTACAAACACAGAACACAAATGTACTTACAGGGTACGGTAAGAATATTTAGTATAATCTACAGCTAGTAGTTGATACCAACCAGTACCAGTACCAGTACCAGTTAATACTATTGGTTTAGCCGGCCGTTTTACTCGAAAGGAGGCAATCCATTTTAGTCCTAACGGGTGACAACGCATCTGCATTTAGATTCGTCATCCGGGATAGATGCAGATGTCTATGGGCCGCAGCATCCACTTACCATCAGGTGGACTGTGTTCTCGTTAGTCACCGTTATCCTATAAAAAAGTGTTATCTATCTGGGCTAGTATTCTATTGAATAACTTCTTGCGGGTAATAAATAGCTCCTGTACATTGACGCTACTTCCCCACAACACAAAATAACTCCGTACTTAAGCCACGAATGAGCATAGGCATAGTAAGCTGACAGTGCCGTGGCAGTGTCAGTGGCGTTTTTGATTTGAAATAAAACATACATTAATTTTGATATTGTGCGAAATCTTCGTCAACTTTGAACCGATTTTGATGATTCCTTTTTATTAAAACGGTTCTGTTTCAGTGGTAGTCATATAAATTTTGACAAAAATGTTCACTCCTAAAGCTGACAACATAGGGGATTTATTTTCATTTCGTTGACGCTAGCGATCTGCCCCGGCTTCGCACGGGTGATTTCTGGATCTCGACAACAGCGCCACCTACCGGGTCCAAATATGAATATAAACCATCTAGGGACCCATTCAAACACACACAAGAAATTTCATCAAAAGCGGTTGGATAGTTTCAGTCTTTAACGGACATAGGTAGAAACATTTTATGTGTTTTATAACATAGATTAAGATTGTGATATTTCACTTAAAAGAGTAAATATAACTTTAAAAGTAAGTAAGAGCCAACTTCAAACAACTACATATACAGTTTAACATTCACATTCTGAACGCAGGTCTAACCTAACCATCAGATTGACTGCATTTACCATTATATTGTTATAAAATAAAAAACAATTCGTTGAATAAAACTATTATTTACGGATTTTATCGCGTTTAATTACTTTAATTTATTTTTATTATTATCCCGACGTTTCGGGTGCTTTACAGCGCCCATGGTCACGGGGGGGACGATAAAATCCGTAAATAATAGTTTTATTCAATGTGTAGTGTTCGCGTAAATTTAAGAAATCATTATAAAAAAACAATTCGATTAACTTTGTTTTTTTTTTGTTCCATGTTCGGACGAGTAGCAGAGAGAGACAGAATTGGTAAGTTAATATATTTTTAATCATCTTTCTCCTTGAAATCACAAACATTCTGGAAGAAAATAAAAGTGACGTTGTAAGAATCAACTCCATATCGTCCCGAGAATGTCGCAAGAGACGAGAGAGGGAGATCGAACAGGAAATGGGCAGCAGCATCTTTTAGATAATAACTTAAAATTATTAAAAAACTGCTTTTGCTAACCCTACTTACAAACGTGGCGTCTATGGCAAAATTCCCCGTCAGTATCATGAAATAAAAAATCGAGCATGTTATGCTAGGCAGGCCTTTGTGAAGTTTCATTATATTCGATTTAGCCATTCCGAAGATTAGCCCGGATAAACAGATAGACAGACTATTTTTTATAAAAAAGGTAGCATGCAAATAACTGGCCCAGTTCAATATAAGGTTGTTCTTTCGATATTACAGAGAGACACTTCAATTTTATATGTATGTTATTTTCACCACACCATGCGTTGGTGGAGAATATCGATAGGCAGTAGAAAATATCGATGGCCATAAAGTTCACCCTTTGTTATAAGTCGCGGCACGTAAGTCTGCCGCTGTACGAAACGTAGAGGCTATAGCTGCGAATGTTGTATCAGTACGAGGGACGGAATGCAACTGGAGAGCCAATCAGCGCGTGTGAACGATACGCACATCCAATCATACGCAAATAATGCGCAATACGCCAAATTATGCGCAATAACAGTCACCGCCTCACCTGGTGGTAGGTATCGACCGCGGTCCATGAACAACTGCAACACCACGGGAACTGCAAGTTGCTTTGCTCGCCTTTTAAAAAGGAGTAAGCTCGTTTCTTGAGAGTCCTTAAGTCGTACCCATCCAAATCGCTATTAGATTCTAAGTTGCATGCAATAAAGTCTAAGTTGTATGTAAGAAGTTGAAGTTACAGGACGTCACACAGTTGCACAGGCTTCCTATCATTTCTGAAAGGGCTATGAAGTGATTAATTTGCCGCGGGAAAAATTTTATTTCGGACATGGTACGGCGGTACCGGCGGGGATCAAACCCGAGTTGCTCACGTACTGTGAAACTATAATAATATGAATAACACAAAAAAAATAATATGAGTTAAGCACCACGGTGAGAAAGAAAGAAAGAAAAATCAACGAACCAACCACGGCATGCATGCGTCAGAGTCACTTTGCAGCTACATTAGCAAGTTTGGGTCGGGTTGAATGGAGCAGAACCACAATCTCACGGAATACGAGCATAAAATAGCTTAATGCTGCTGTTTTTCGTACGGTGAGTTTAGAGAACCGGAGACCCCTTTTTTACTGCTAACGAGGCATTCCATCTTAGTCCCCAGGGGTGACAACGCATCTGCATTTTGATTTGTAATCGAGGATAAATGTAGATATCTATGGGCCACAGCATCCAATTACCGTCAGGTGCACCCTGTGCTCGTTCATCACCCTTATTCTATAAAAGAAATAAAAAGGGTATCCGGTACACTACACTCAACACACGAAACTGCTGCTGTTTTACGCCGGTTTGTATTCTGTGGTCAAGTCGAGTGGTCGTTCGAGTTAACTCTTTCGTACCACAACTATATATATATATATATATTGACCTTTGTCTATACGTACTCGAGAAATTGAATTATTAATCGCCTCGAAACAAATAACATTAAGTTAAACTAAAGTAATTAGAAATAGGCGCCAAAGAAACTAACCACTAATTTACTTAACAATTAAAGAGACAGCGAGAAAACTAATTTACTACATTAGGCAATATACACGTGTCCGTTAAAACAAGCTCGCCTCTAAGGTCTGTTATTTTCTATGCATATCTAATTAATGGGCATTTACATTGCTAATATTTAATTAGTGTAAACTTTGTTTTAAATATTTTACTAGAAGCGACATTTATACACAATCTATCTAGCTTGGGTTTTATCTGCCTCGTTGGTCTAGTGTTCGCAAACGCGGTTGCTTATCATGAGTACCTGGGCTTGAATCCTGGGTCAGCCCAAAATCATTCATTAAATTTTCTGTAGTTTGCCGGAAGCAGGGAGTTGATGGCGTACAATCCGTGTGACTCGGATAGCACGTAAAACCGTCCCATCGGCAAAGAGAGTGAGGGACTCACTTGCACCTGTCCCGTGCAGATAGCTAGTCTCCATTGCACTGACCGCAGCTGGTGCTCTCGAGACATGAGAAAAGTGGTCGATCTAGCCTGTCGCATTTGTGTCGTACATCATAAATATTTAAACCGGGGAAGGGAAGCAGAGTCAATGGTACGAGGCATCTGGTGTAAGGCAAATTTTCCCTAAAACGGAAGATGCCCATGTCCTGCTGTGGCCTCTTTCATACACTACTTGCATCTCTTATTAAACGTATGTAATAAGATCTCGGATAAAGCAATAACCATTTATAACTTATGTAAAACGATAGGACGAAGTCAGTTTCCTTCGATTAGGTCATCACAATTTATCGAAATCTAATCCCGTCAATTTTCATTTATTACCATTATTATTGAATCTAGCTTACAACCCTCTCATTTAGTTAAACACTGATCAAAAATCAAGTACCCATCTGAAAAATTTAAAACCACGCTCGCGAATACATAATACTACGCTCCATGTCTCTTCCAAACACTTTATAACCGTGACCCAACTCGAGACAAAGACAGGCTGACAGTTTGAGATTGTTGAGAACCCTCGAGGGTGCGAAGAATTAAAATTTTACATCATCACAACTCTGCGCTACTGCTGCGAATTATTTCACTTATAACTTTTAACTGTTTTAAAACCATTAGTTTTCGATTTTACATAAATTAATTCTTATTGATTATTTTAAAATGATGACTGAAATTTTTGAGAGGCCTTGCTCGGGGGTTCCCTACCGATGTTGCAGTAGAACCAGAGTAACCGACATAGCCCAACGGATTAGTAAGCTGAAGTGGCAATGGGCCGGCCATATAGCTCGAAGAACAACGATGGTAAAATTTTTCGATAGGCAGCCTCGTAGGGGTACGCGAAGCTTGGGACGGTCCCCCACGATATAGAGTGGCTCAGGACCGTACTTTGTGGCGTTCCTTGTTGTGAAATGTCTGAGTAATTTAAATATGTAAAGCAAAGTTCGTCTTATATGATTACAAAACGTAGTTTATTAAGTTTCTGGGTCTAAGAAAAGTCTGTGTCGAAAGGACCTTCAGTGCGGCGCCATTTTCTTCGCTGAATTTGACATTTGCTAATAAATAAATAAATATTTCGGAGATATTTTTTTGCTTCTCAAAACTGTAGGGCCTGTGACCAGCTGTAGGACGTTTGTCGGCTGAACCTCATAATGAAACGGTAGTAGAATTAGTAGGTGTAAAAAATTATACTCGGCAAACGTTATTTATTTTCTTACGCCAAATAAATAAAGATATGTTATTAATTTCTTTACTTTATCATAGAGGTATCAATATTATTTCTGATAATTTCTAATGCGCGTACTGTGTTTTTTCGCGCCTGTTACGGCCATAGCACATTCATAGTATGACCCGTGGTAATGAGCCGCGATCTTAACACATCTATAGCAATATTTATGTACAGGGTTATTTTGCAATAACAGGCCAAATTTGCATAGAAGGTTCTGATAAGTAGGTTAGCAAATGGTGAAAAAAATTAATTAAAAAAAAACTTCTAACATTCCTTCCTTTTTATTTTATATTCGTGCGTATTTGCGTAAAACTTCATTGTTTTAAATGGTTTTACTGCGCACGCAAACATTTTTGGGGGTCGATCGGTAGGCAAACACATTGTTTCCTATAAATCACATTCAATTTGGGATAATTTCAAATAAAACTAGAAGCCTTATTTACTCGCATTTTCAAAAACTACAATAACGATATATCATTTATTTATATATTTGAACTTAATTTTAAAATTAGACTACTCTTTGAAAAATAACTTTGTATGTAATATGATGGTTGTCAAAGTCTATTTGATTTATACACTGTCTTATTTCAAAAGGTAGAACAAGTAAGTAAGTAGTAAAATTTTTACTTTTCCATTTATATACCTAATGATTAAGTCCCATGGGAACTATGAAATTTATTTGGAAGAAATAAAGAAAAAAAAGTACAAATACCAACAAAACATATTATAGACTAAACAACTTACAACTACAGAACTAAAAAAACCCTAAAGCCTGAATCAAAAAGTATTTCAACCGCTAAGCAGCACTCAATCACTTTAACAATTATACAATATCTCAATTTTAAGTTATTTACACAGCTTCACGAGTAATTTTACAACAATTTTTATTTTCAACGTTACAGAGTGACTCGACGTTCGAGACGACGTCCAACCTGACCTTCGAAGCGACTCGCTTCGAAAACGGACGCAAATTCCGCTGTGAAGCCATCAATGATGTGATGATAGAAACGAAGGAGCATCCTATACATGCCACTAGAGAACTGGAAGTTTGGTGTAAGTATCTATGGCCGCCATCATCATTTTTATCACTATTATATCTATTCTATTCTAATTTTATAAGGGAGAGTGCGAATTTTGTGAGTTTTTTACGTGTTAGAGCCACGCTGCTGCTATATTATGGTTGTAGCACGAATGAATGCGACCGAAGTAAGCTCTCACAGAATACCAGCGTGAAATAAAAGCTTAATGCTGCTGTGTTTGGTATGGTGAGTGTAGAGATCCGGAGACCCTTTTCACTGGAAACGAGGCATTCCATCTAAGTCCTTAGGGGTGACAACACATCTTCATTTTGATTTTTAATTGAAGATAAATGTAGATGTCTATGAGCCACAGCATCCACTTACCGTCAGATGGACTGTGTTTTCGTTTGTCACCCTTATTCTATAAAAAATGTGGAACGTAATGCTGGTGGTAGAACCGTGCTTTGTGGAATTCCCTGGGAAAGGCTTATGATGAGCAGTATATTGGTGAAGGGCCTTAATGATGATGATGAAGTATTCTTGTACTTAATATAATAGTAATAACAAAAATATTTTATATCAACCATCATGGATCATATGTTGTGTTAGTAATACACCAATACACAATAATACACGCCTATTTATTAGTAAAAAAAAACTAAAATCAATAAAATAAACTAAAGCCTACTTAACCTAAGACAGGAACGATAAATAGCAGTGGCTCGGCTCTAGTACATACAATCCAAACTATCAGCAAATGCTCTCAAAATGCTACTGAAGTTGGCCCGGACTCTACGCATCAAGCATGTTGCACACTGCAACACTTTCGCAATAGTATATTGAATAAAAAATACATTATTTTATTCTATTCCTATTTTCGCAGATCCGCCACTCGTCCACTTGGAGCCCAAAAACATAACAGTGGTGGAGGGCGCAAAAATACTCCTGAAGTGCGAGTACGAAAGCAACCCATCTTCCCTCAACGAAGTTATTTGGTAAGTTTTATTTGTTTATTTTATTTATTTAATCTTTATTGTTAACACCTTAATAAATTGGCATTTTCTGCCAGTCGACCCGTGGAGTGAAGAGATTTTGTGACGGGTGCAGTTATATATACATACAAGTTTATTTCTAAGTACATTTCTTATTTTGTTTTATATTTAAAATGATACGTCTCGCTCTCTAAAGTTGATATCACATTCTCGGCGGTGAAGGAAAACATCGTGAGGGAAACATGCATGTCTGAGGAATAATTAAATATAATTATAACATAAATAAGATAATCATCAGCGGCGTACTATCAAGCCTAGTGGCGCCACAAAGCTGCCAATCGCTTCATTACACTCGCAGACAATAATATTATAAGCACCCTTTTACTTATAATATCATTGCTCACAGATGTGTTGGGACGTATATAGGCTGTAACTTGATCTTCTGTAGTACTATATTTATAATTCATTAGTACGTTTGTTACTGAACTCCTCGTAAACATCTAGACATAGTTTGATAATTTTTTGTGTGTTCACGTCCATCACGAAATCGAAACCATCCACGGACCCATGTTCGTCAATTTGGTCCGGTGGGAGGCGCTATTGTCGAAATCCAGAAATCACCCGAGCGAAGCCGGGGCGGATCGCTGTTTTTTATATTTGTTCTCACTGCCTTATTGGTCTAGTGGTTGTAGTAGTGCGACTGCTAATCATGAGGTCCTGCGTTCAAATTCCTCCCGGGTCGGGCCAAAAAATCAATTATTGAGTTTTTCTATCAAGAAATTCTCAGTAGCTGCTCAGAGTCAGGAAGTTCGCAGTGCCTCACCCCCGTGCCTCGGAAAGTACGTAAAGCCGTTGATCCTGCACCTAATCTCTCTCCGGTCGTGTCGGTTTGCCGTCCCATTGGATTATGAGACTGAGATACACTTGGGCACTGTAATCCTGTCCTGCGCCGATGGCTAATCTCCATTGACGCAGGCCGCCGTGACCGAAATTCGGTCTAGAGGACATTATATTTCTTTTTAGCCCCAACACAGTATATACCTAATTATTTCTTTAACCGAACTTCTTATCCAGGTACAGAAATGGCAAGAGACTGAACGTGAACAGTTCCCACTATCAAGGAGGGACTACGGATCAGCACGCGCTCATCATCGTCAACGCCAAAGGAGAGGACATGGGCAACTACACCTGCTTGCTCTCCAACACCGTGGGCAACGGGACGACCAATGAAACCATCGATGTTAATATTCTTTGTAAGTTTACAAATTATTTATAGAACCTTACTGAGTTGAAATCCTTTTCTGTCTAGACGTTCTTTTCCGCCAAGAAGTTCGCATGACAGCAGCTTAAATTAATAAATATGGTAAGGCCCTAAGCCATTTTCTTACCTACCTCTAATTATTTTATTAAAAAAAACTTACTTTTAACCTAAACTAAAAGCCGACATCAAAGAACATAAAAAGAATAAAATAATTTCACATTCTCAAGTTGGTGCTTCAACTTCTTTTTTACTTCGTTCTTACGAAGTAAAAAAGAAGTGTATAGAAGAAGCCCCGATTTTAGAATGTGAAATCATTAATAAATAGACTGAAGTTAAATGATGTGTCTTACTTAGTTTGAAGAGCATCTCCCGCCCTCCCTATTATCGTCGATTTTATCGAGTATTAGGAGATTATTGGGATTAGTGGATTAGGGGTGACGGTGCTCTTCAAACTAAGTGTCTATGTCACACCTATGCCGGTAGTTGTTGGGAGCACTAAGCTCGAAGTTGTTGAGTATGTTTACCTGGGACAAATAGTCCGACTAGGTAAGTTCAACTTCGACCGAGAGGTCAATCGACGGATTCAACTCGTCTGGGCAGCGTTCGGGAAATTACGACGCATCTTCTTGTTAGGTATACCTCAAAACCTGAAAACTAAGTAAGACACATAACTTTATTTAATAGGTGTGGTGAATGATGTGGGTGAAGTAATTCTTACCAACTTTAATATGTAAAATTATTTTATTATTTTTAAGTTCTTTGAAACCGGCTTTTACTTACTGTTAAAAGTTATTTTTTACCCTTTTGAGTGGTGTAAGTAATGTCAAAATCTGAATACCGCTTAATTTTTTACATTAGACATTTTAAAAGAACTTATGTATGCGGGTTCGGTAGAATTTATTTTCCAAATTTATGCTGCTACCCCTGTAATGACGATCACAGAACCTTCTCCATTTTTAGCTGTGCTAAATATAGTAGTAACGCTAATGATATTTCATAAGCTCCCGTTAAATACTCTATGCTTAAAATAAGTAAGGTAGAGCTGCAGCTATGTTATAGTTGTAGTACAAAAGTCAGCTCAAACGGGGAAGGACCACACTCTTACAGAATACCAGCGTGAAATAGCAGCTCAATGCTGCTGTGTTTTTGATGATGAGAACTGATAGAGAACTGGAGACGAGATATTCTTAGTTCTTTAACTAGGATAAAAGTGAGCGTCAATGGGTCACAGCATCCACTTACCATCTGGTGGACTGTGTGCCTGTTTGTCACACTTATTTTATAAAAAGCTAGTTTAAGCTTCATAAAGATACCTTTAAGAATTAATTCAAAAGTTTATCAAACTCCGTTTAAAAATAATCTTCTTAGGGGCGATTTTCAATCACTAGATGAGTTTATATGGGATAATTATAACACGAACAAATTAAAAAAATACAGTTGAATCTCAGTTGTTTCACTTTTATATTCACTCGGGTTATCTGACAATTTTATCTCTTTACTAATTATATGACAAAAATTATCTCATACTTTTTGTTTTTGTTTATCTTCCTTATGGCCAAACACTACACGCAGCTCAGTTTTAAGATGACTTTAAGTCTCATGCTGTCTCTATCACTTTAAATGAAAATCACTGTGACAACACAAGACAACGACATTTAAAAATGGAATAGCGTGTGAGTATTTGGCCGTTATTTAAAAAAAACCGAACGGAAGTGAATCGGCGCCTAATATGTGAACTTTTGTGCGATTTCAGACAAGCCGCAAGTCCGACTAAACATGAGTGAACAAAGCCCCATCCTGGAAACTGATCACAAGAACGTCACTCTTACCTGCCAAGTGGTATCGGGTAACCCGCCGATCCTGGACGAGGTTATATGGTATCTGGATGGCGAGATCTTGAAACATTTGCCAGAATGTAACGGTACCAATGGTAAGTCTGCAGACCACTTTATAAATACCTGTATATTTACTTGCACACTACGTGTATGCAATAATGTATTTAGGTGTGTGTGTGTGTGGGGGGGGGGGGGTGTCGAAGTAAAACTGTTACAATCAAAAGACTATCAAAAGACTATTGCTGTACTAATTGCCTACCCTACAGATTGTCTCATTTGCGATAATTGCCATTCTTGGCTTCCCTTTTCGTGAAAAAGGACGGAAGTGTGTCACAGGAAGCCGGGAAAACGCGCGCTATTTGAATTGACCAATGAGTGCGTGTGGTTTTAGTAAAGTGTACTGAATAAACTATTTTATACGTGTGTTCTATTTTAATAAATATACTGTTGATAATAAATGTCTGAAAAAAGTGCGGATCATTGTTAAAAATGCAAGTGAGTAATAATGAATAATTATTCGAATAACCATTTCAGTATTAAGGTTTAATAAATTTTGAGGTTAATATCTGTCGCTGTCCAATGGATATTTTTAATTTTGATTGAATAAAAAAACAAACAGTTTTTTTTTCAGGATATAATGTTACGGTTGCTTATTACTTATAACTAAGATGAGATGTCAGATGTTATACATCATATGCGACTACTAAGGCTCGTTCGTGTTTTGTTATAAGTATTACATAACGTTTGTGTTTATTTAAAAGATAAAGTTTTAACTTTAACCTTTGTACGTCCCACTGCTGGGCATTGGCCCCCACTCATTTTTATGGAAGGGTTATAGAACTATTTCTCCGCCAATGTTTTTTTTTCTACACCAAACAAATGTATTGTATTTTTTATATTTCTATTGTGTGCTCTTCTTCTGTAACCGCCTCTAACTTTACATCGTTGCCCTAAAGTTTACAAGCAGAGAATGCTTTTAGCATTAAGTCCGCATTTTGTGCTTATACTTTGTGTAAAGTTCAATAAATATAAATAAAAAATTTTAAAAGTCATAAAGATTATTGTATAACCTAAAACTACGTTATCGTCCTTTCTCACTCGAGGCCACGCTAATCATTAGTCTATAAGTTTCTCTATCTACGATTTTAGTCCTCGTGGGTAACAACGCATTTATATTTTGATTCTAAATCGAGGGTACATGTAGATGTCACATCAGGAGGACTGTGTGCCCGTTTGCAACCCTTATTCTATAAATATAAAAATAATATTGCAATAATTTCTGACATTATAGACAGCCTATGCAACGACGTCGACCCGTCGATGCTGCTTCTCCAAGATACAACTAAAAGTTTCCATGGCAACTATTCGTGCAAAGGCAAGAACTATGCGGGATGGGGTAGCGAGAGTGAGAAGACGGAATTAGTCGTCAACTGTAAGTATACTATTCTTCATTAGCCTCTAATAGTCCATAACTGGTTACCAACTGTAAGTATTGTCTACTATATTTGTCCTGAACTATAAACTGGGTATAGGGCTTCTACCAACGACAAAGTTACTAGATTTAGCTAGGCTAAGTAGGACATTTTCTGCCTAGAAATGTGTTTGAGTATGTAACACATTCTTAAATATTTCTGCCTGCACTGCTGTGCTTTAGGGTATGTTCTGAAATGTTCCCGGCATACTGGCGATTACAAATGACGTCATTAATTGACGCCATATTGTACTGGCGTGCCGCCGCCATATTGTGGCAGATATCCGGCCATATTAAAATAATTTTAACTGTGTGTACGCTGAATGAAGCATACCAGAATTTGTTTTTATTTATTCAAATACAAAAAATTGTAGAATAATTGCTGGGATCTCCATTAGGAGGTTATAATGACTTTTGGAGCATAAAATGACAAAATAATCACTAACACTTTACCAATATGGCGCAAATGTATGATGTCATATACTGTCCAAAGTTTTAAACGAATCACCAGTATGGCGTCGATTTATGACGTCATTTGCATTGGCCAGTACACTGGGTTCTATTTTGGAACATACCCTTCTAAAGTCAGTATATTGAAATTACCCGACGTCACACACTTCAGTCTCTCCGTGACTATAGGCGCTAGAAAACACTCGAAACTTTGGTTTCGCATGTTTCCTGAAGATTGACGTTCACTGTACAAGATGTTCTAGATATTTCATATCTTGTTTTCAATTTTTGGCATTAACAAGAGGGTTACATGGACGACGATATAACCATCATGCCAACAAATATTATATTACCAGTCTTGATAAGACTGAAATCTATATCCTAAAAAATTTTTTTTCTATCTATCTCCTAAATCTAGCTCCTAAAAGAACCATTTTGTTGACGTCATGGCGTCATGACCAGATACCTTGTCAGTAGTATAGAATAATTAAATACAAGGCGATTTGGTCTATTTGATAAAGTACAGAGGTGCGAGGAGAGAGGGTAAGCACACGAGCGTTCGACATCTATTGGATACTTACATGTCTTTTACTTGCAGTACATTCTCAGTTTTACAAGCACAAACTTGCCCCATACTATTGCTGCTCATATATCAGATGTTGTTATCTATAACATTCTATTGTTACACATTTCCTTACAGATCCGCCCGGGCCAGCCAAGCTCACATACTCGCCGTGGCGAGTAATAAAAGGACAGTCATTAATCTTAAGCTGCAGCGTGCAAGAGAAAGGGAGACCTGAATCTAACCGGTACGTAGCTTCTTTGTTTTCTTTTCCGTCTTTACCAGTTCGTTATATAATGAGATTGATGGATTTGACTGTAAAAAGTATAAGAAGTCGACTATAAGAAGGAGCTTAGCAAGTGTTCTTATTTAGGCATATGCCGAAATAAGAACACTTGCCAAGCTCGCTAGGTGAATGTGGTGACAGACGTCTCGCATATTTGCAGCTGTTTCTTGTGACAGGTTGCATTTATAACAAAATTTGACCTGCACAAATTTTAAAAACTTTATTAAACCAAGTTTGGATAAAAATAGGTTATTATAATATTAAGGAATTTATGGATGATAATAACCCCTGGGAAGGGTGATCGCTACCAAGCTATTTCTAATTTGTTTTGTATTGTTAATTGTAAACAAGATTGTAAGCTGTTATTTTGTTTTCTTGCTGGTTCTTTTCCAGGACAGAGGTTTTTCCCAAAGCAGTGCTAAATTTAAAAGTGACTTACTATAAATATTATTTATAATCTATATTGAATAAAAAAAGTTTCTGTTTCTGTATCTATATTTTTGTAGGGTCTAAGCTTTCGGAATTTATTTTTTTATTCGTTCCAGCGTCTCAAAAGTCCACTGCAGAACATATACCTCTCCATAGATTACCTCACAGGGGGAATATTTGTCATATTTGCCACGTTTGGCAAGCGGGTTGGTGCAGCTTTAACCGACTTTAAAAAGGAGGAGGTATTTAATTCGACTGTATGTTTTGTTTATGTGTGTTCCCTCAGAACCTCTGGGTGAATCGATTTTGATGACTCTTTTTTATCTAAAAGCTGCTAGTATAATAGTGGGATATAGTATAGCTACTATAGTATATACTACTACTTTACTATACAGTATATAGTATAGTAGTGCTTTATAGTAGTAGCTGACTAGTAATTTTGGGTTATTCTTAATAATGCGTATTGAATTTACTGTTGTTCTCCATTTATAAATTACATTGAAGTCGGTTGCACAATTTTTTTTATATTACCACTTGTTTATAAATATGTTATAATATGGCACACTAAGTAAACATAGCTTAAACGAAGATCCTTTTTGCTGGAAACGAGGCACTCCACCATAGTCCTCACGGGTGGCAATGCATCTGCATTTGATTGTTAACCGAGGATTGGATGTTGATGTCTTTGGGCTATTGCATCCACTTATCAGCGACTGAACTGGTTTGTTACCCTCAATCTATAACAAAAATAGGTTGCACTTACGAAATTTTAAAAGCTTTTATTTAGTTTCACTTGTCCCGGTGTCTGTAACCAAATCTTACAAGTTAAATTTGACCCACTTCCCAGTTTCCCATTAAGCTGAAATTTTGTATGCATATGTAAATGGTAATACAATATAGTTATGACATTGAGCTAATCTGATGATGGAGATCTTTGCGTGGCAGAGCCACACGCTGCAGCTATATTATAGTTGTAGCAGGAATGGGTCGGCTCGACCGGGGAAGGGATACGCTCTCACAGAATACCAGCGTCAAATAGCAGAGTAATGCTGCTGTGTTTCGTATGGTGAGTGTAGAAATCCAGAGACCCTTTTTACTGACATTTCATCTTACTTCTCGGTGGTGACAAAGCATTTTCATTTTGATTCGTAATTGAGGATAAATGCATGCTATGGGCCACAGTATCCACTTACTATCCCGTGTACTGTGTGTCCATTTGTCACCCAATGGTATAAAAAAAGCTTGAAGATGGTCTAGTATGTTACATTTCAACAGAAATAGTTAAAACACTCTTTCTTTTGTACTTTAAATTTAAAAACTTGAGCTCGTTATAAGTACTTCCGCAACGATTCAATATATGGTATGAATACCAAGGCTTGAAACTATCTAATTATGATATGAGATGATTTTGACATAGAAGAAGGAGGCTCAGTATCGTTTAGAGATAAAGAAGTTTGAAACCGCTTATTTGCAATTTGAATGACATTATGTTTATTAACAAATAATAAAATATTGTTTTTAAGCTATTGCATAGCTTCTATCGCGGGCCTTGAGCGCGGGGACCGAATCCAGAAATTCCGTAATGAAAAAAAACCTCACGCTCCCCACTCCGACGGGCACGGAGGTGTGGCGTTGAAAGCCGTGCATCGTCTAACGTCGTTTCAGTTCGGCAGACTTCGGCACTCGGCAGACTTCGGCACGGTGTTTGTGTGCGTGCGACTAGACGTATGCGTGTACACTAGCTGCTAACTCAATGATAAAAATTCCTGAATAACCTACATGTATTGTAAGATATTAAAAATATTTTAAACAATATTAACTTCTCATTTATTCAATAAGAGAAAAAAATTGTTTTCTTATCGGTCATCACGCTCAAAAAGTGTAACTTGATTTAATATCAAAGTCTTAACTGCATAAATAAAATAAATAAATAATTATAATTGCATAAGTTGATAAAAAATGCTATGCAATAGCTTTATCGCGGCAGTCACCGAGTGCCACACGTATTTTTTTGTTTTTATTTTTTTTATTTACTTATTTCACTGTAGTACCGATTTTTCCAAATGTGCTCCGTTTAAGCTATGTTTATACTATTTTATAGATTCCGCTGGCATCGCGGCGGTCGCCTCGTCAGTGATATCGTGTCTGCGAACTGGACCATCGACCCGGTCACCTTGGACCACAGGACGAACTTCTCGTGTCGGGGGAACAACACGGGAGGTGAAGGGGAACCGGCCTACGCCACAATAGATGTGCTGGGTGAGTTCACTGTTATCTTTAACCCAAGTCTTTATCTTATCTTAAAATAAACAACCAAACTTTTCATCCAAATCATTTAAGCCGTTTCCGAGAAACCAAAAGTATTTACTGTGTTCCAATAAGAGGAAACCGTCCCCGGGCTTTTACAAAGCGTTCTCTAAGGAAGCTTACAAATATAATAATTTTACTATATTATTAAATCCCATAGGTGGCGCTACAGTGGAGCTATAAATGATTTTCAATACTTCACAATTCATAATTCATAATTATTTATTTGCATAAAATGTAGATAGATATTACAAAAGTATTATTAAAGCATAAATGTTCCGATACATTCTGCCTTATAGAGAGGCGTGCAAATTTTTACTAAATAGTTTTAATACATTTTTTACTATTATTGATGAATTTTGTTTATTAATATAATATAAAAATGTCCAAATAATGATAAAATGTCAAAGGATTAATTACAAAACATTATCACACAATCATTTACAAACAATGTCAAAATATAAATGTTCATATGTAAAAACGGTGAAAATAACTAACTAATAATTATTCAATAACTATCGATTATACGATGATATATATGATATTACTAGGTGCCCCAACATTTCCGTCATACTTCCGGTCCTTTTTTCTACGAGTGTACCCTCAAAGTTAAAAAGTTAAAGCCTAAATACGTCCCACTGCTGGGCACAGGCCTCCTTTCATTTCTTAAAGGGTTTTAGGGCAAGGATGTGTCCGCCGCGCTGCCCCAATGCGTGTTAGTGAACTTTACATGTCTTCGTAATATTTTTGTTTCTTATTTCTCAGGCGTGCAAGTTTCCTCACGATGTGTTCCTTCACCGCCGAGCACGAGGCTAAATCAGCACTTAAACTTGCAATTAACAATTTCATTGGTGCCAGCGGGGATCGAACCCGAGATTCTTGCATACTGTGAAATTCACACCGAGCTCTAACCATCTCAGCTACCACGGCTACTACAGAAAATTGAGTTTTTATATTTGCAGGACCAATAATTTACCACTTTTACCCTACTCCCAAATGCTGCTAAACGTATTATAAATCTGTTATACGAATATGTATGAGATGATAATACCTCTACCTATTAAAGACCACTTGATCTTTCATAGATTCAGGCGCTACTTTGCGGAAATCCATTATAATAAATGATATTAATAGTTATTTCGCAACCATCCGCTAAATTAAATAAAATGATGTGTCTTCCCTAAATTGAAGAGCACCTCCCGCCCTCCCTCAATTGCGTGCACTAATCCTATCACCACCAATCCCAGCACCTCTACTCCCAACAACACTACTCCCAACACCACTACTTCCAACACCACTATTCTAGGAAAGACACACCATCGACGATAACACGACACGTGTTTCGCCTCTACACGAGGCATCTTCAGGTGATGTTGACTCTACGGCGGCTGACCGCTAAGGCACTTGATCTTTTCTGAAATTACATCCTTGTTAAAGCCACATTGCATCAATAATATGGTTGCAGCACGAATGGGTCGGCTCAACCGGAAAGGACCCTGTTGTCATGAATAGCGGCGTGAAAAACAGCTTACTGCCGCTGTGCTTTGTGTGGTGGATGTAAAGGATCGCAGACACTTTACTGGAAACAACGTTCCACCTCCGTCCTCAGACGTGACAACGCATCTGCAATTTGATAATCGGAATACTATGGGCCACAGCATCCACTAAACATTTCAGGTGGACTGTAAAATTGTAATTTCATCTATCCATCATTTCAATTGCATTTAAATCATGAATAAAATAGGTGATACATTTTAAATAAAAAATCTCAAAGTTTCTTTTGTTTTCAGCCCCGCCAAGTTTCAAATACGCAATGAATCACTACAGCGGTGCGTTGTACAGATCTCAGGTTAGTTATTTTATACATACAGTTACATTTGCAATATTTATACACAGGAGAATTTTAGTAGAATATATTTGCAATGAATGTAGGTACTAAAACACAAGTGTTACATAATACATACTTATATATTATGCAGAATACGTTAAATTCCATCTTAGTCCTCAGGAGTGACAACGTTTTTACATTTTGATTATATCGATCGTCTATGAGCCACAGCAACCACTCAGCATCAGGTGGACTCTGTCCTCTGTAATCTTTAACTAATGTAAACTTTGACATTTTAAAAACCACACTAAATATAATTAAACATATATATATATATACATTTCTTAAAGCAGTCAAATGTCTATCGTTTACATGGTTATAGTATGTTTATAACTATAATTAATTGATAAAAGTAAAACGCGATACGGTTAATGAGTCTAGTGAAATAGTTATTAATAATAATGATATGCTATTTATAGCAAAGAATGTTTATAATTAATTAGATTCAGGCGCTTAGTTATAACTTATCATTTTCCTATTAATGATCACTCGTCTAATCGGTCAGTTCCCTTTTACTAGAAATTATTGAAATTTAACAAGTTCTAAAATAGCAGCTTAATGCTGTTGTTTTTCGTACGGTGAGTGTAAAGAACCGAATATCTTTTTTTTTAACTTGTAAACGAGAAATTTTATTTTAGTCCTCAGGTGTGACAAAGTATCTGCATTTTGATTTTTAATCGAGATTAGATGTAGACGTCCACAGGCTCGGCATCTACTTACCATCAGGTAAACTGTGTACTCGTTTGTGACCCTTATTCTATAAAAATCTTTTATTACACGCTATTAAAGTACACAGCTAAACGTAAAGTTTCCTATAGATTGTCTTATAAGATGAACGATTTTTACGCGGTAGAGCCATGCTGCAGTTACATTAGTAGTATAATTGTAGCACTAATGTGTCGACTTGACCGGGGAAATACCATGCTCTCATAGAATACCAGCGTCAAATAGTAGCTTAATGCTGCTGTGTTTCGTACGGTGAGTGTAAAGAACCGGAGACTCTTTTTACTGGAAACGAGGCATTCCGTCTTAGTCCATACGGGTGATAACACATCTTTATTTTGATTCGTGATCGAGGATAGATGTAGATGTCTATGGGCCACAGCAACCACTTACCATCAGGTGGACTGTGTGCTCGTTTGTCACCCTAATCTATAAAAAAATGAATATTCGTCTCAATCACGCTTCGAAGGCAGGTTGGCATCTGCATAATTGTTATTTTTAATTGCTTTGAGGAAGATACCGCTGCTCATCCTCAGTTTGACTTCTCTCTGCCATTTCTTATAACAAACGCTCATGGGATGATATTATGGGGTATTAAATTCTCTTACGTCACCTCTATATGGCTACAATAAAATACATTAAAACATATAATTATGTGAAAGTAAAGTAAAGTTACAGCTTATATACGTCTCACGCAGGGCACAGGCCTCCCCTCATTTCTGAGAGGGTTTTAGGGCAAGGAAGTGTCCGCCACGCTGCCCCAATGCGTGTTGGCGAACTTCACATCTCTTCGAAATATTTTTTTCCTATTCCTCAGATATGCAGGTTTCCTCACAATGTTTTCCTTCACCGCCGAGCACGTGGCAAATCAGCACTTAAAATTATAATTAACAATTTCATTGGTGCCAGCGCGGATCGAACCCGGGTTACTCGCGTTCTGTTATATTTACAGCGAAAGTTAACCATCTGAGCTACCACGGCTCTTAAAACATATAATTGTTTACTATAACATACATATGATACTAAGCGATTTTTGGCTTCCAGAACATCTCGCTGTCGTGCACGGTGGAGTGCGCCCCCCTGTGCAGTGTGCAGTGGCTGAAGGATGGTCAGGTCATCGACCCCGACAAGACCGACAGGTACTACGTGGTTGAAAGGAAAATAGAGCCGCAAGTGAATAGAAACGACTTTGAAGCCACGGAGTCCACTTTGGTAAGTCTATTGTTAAAATATTTTAATAATCTACCTTAACTAAAGTGATAAAAATTAATATCAATAAAACTGGATAGGATACAAGGAACTTCTTTTAAAATGAAGGCAAAATGAATGTGAAATTACGTGGAAATTAATATTAAAAAGAAATCTCTCCGTGAGACCTGATACCAGTGCTTGCGGTGCTGTGCTTCACTTTGAAGATTATAGACAGTCTTTATGATTGAACCAACAATAGTAAGAAGGAAATTAATCTAAAAATCAACAATGAAGATAATTAAAAAAAAGAACATTTTATCTTTTTTCGTCTAGTTACAAGTTAATGTGACATATGAAAGACTGGCTGATATATGTTAATATTAGTTAAGGTAATTAAATAGAAACTTCTTGGATGTATATCCTTTTTCCATTTTATTATGTACTGGCATACGATATTTATTGAATTAAAGAACAAAACATACTTATTTAATTATTAGAAATATTGAACAAATTTGTTGACACTGGGTGCGTTTGGCAGAAAAAAGCGCTAGCAAGCGCTTGTAAGCAAAATGGTGATCGTAAGCGGTAAGCGCTGTCAAATCGTAAGTAGCTATTTTCCTCTAGGACACAATGTTAGTTTTAACCGGGGAACCTAACCTAATTTAAATATATGTTTGTAAAGTATTCATATTAAAAACTTACTAATCATGAATTTTTAATAACATGTATATTATGTTTATTCATGTCATTATATTACTTAAAACTAATATTGCACAAAACAACTTATAAACTCTACTTCAAAACAAACAAATTAAATAAGCAAAATGGCGGATTGTGTCAGCGCTACTGAAGTAGCAATCGTGTCCTGGCCGAAAACTATTTTAGCGCTTATAAGCGCTTGCTAGCGCTTTTTTCTGCCAAACGCACCCAATGTTTTAACCTTCATCCATTTCAGCGATTTTGAATTTTGAAGTATCGTAAAAATATTTAAATTTTAGGGTATTTATTGCGTAATTTTTGTTATATTATTTTTTTTCTTATTTAAGGGTATTTTAAAAACATATGCCTTAGTGTTTACTATTTCTGTGTGTGTAAAATGTTTCTGAACCTAAAATATAGCTTTATCGAAACCATGGATAAATGCAGAACATGTCAAGTAACCTTTATGTTTCTAATTGTACTCAAACCTTCTGTATTGCAATATTATGAATTTGTTTGCCTTGTCTATATCAGGTTTATAATTATATTTCTGTCACGAATTTTAAAAATCAAGTATGTCTTCTGAAGTGATGTCTATGAAAAGCACCTACATTTTGCAGTCAAAATAAGACTCATCTTATATTTAAACTCTTAAATATCAAAAACAATATACGTCCACTGTCAAAGACAATTATACATCTCCTACCCTATTCAGTTAAAAAACCAGACAATGATAAATTTAACTTCTATTAACGTAGCTTAACAGTTGAAGAAGAAGATTTATTCACTTCTTCCCATAATTTTTTTGATCACATGAATCTCTATGGATTGAGAGTGTTTAATTCCTTTTTTCGAACTCACAATGTAGCACTACGTTTAATAACTGAAAAACTGTAAAAAAAAGTACACACGTCAAAAAGTGGCGTTTATTTCCTTCTTCCCATTGGTGGTTCAATTATAGACTTTAAGGCATTCCATCTTAGTCCTCAGAGGTGACAACGCATCTGTAGCCATGCGGCCTTGCTCTTTTTGACCGATACGCAGGTGTCCTCTCCGGCTGATACTTCATACCTGTCCTATCCGGGGTACAAATTAGAACACTTCTTGTGCCTCGGGCTGGAGTTTGCGTATACGTCAGAGAGGATATTTGTTCTAGACACCTCGGTAGTCTTGAAGGTACGGACCTGTGGTACCATACCAATCGGAGGCAGAGCTAGACCTTGGTTCGATTGTTCGTCTAAGAATGCTTTACATATGATTAAAACTACTTTTACGGATTTTATCGCGTTTATTTTTACTTTTTATTTTTAATTCCCGACGTTTCGGGCGCTTTCCAGCACCCATGGTCACGGGGGACTGAGATGACTGACGTCCCGATGTCATTGTTAAACCCGGAGTACCTTCAGCTTTTTTAATTATTGTTTATGTTCCGATCTATGCAAAATGAACTGACTATGTCCTGAGGTCTTGCAGTGGTATGCTTGGGTTTAGTTTTAATTTTATTGATTATAGGATCCCAAGCAGGTGGTAGTACCCAGCCTCCTTCTCTATTGAAATTAGGATGTTTTTTTAATTTCAATAGCCTCACGTATCATCCTTGGTAGGAATCGGTGTTCTTTCGCGAGGATTTGTGGTCTATCAAATCTGATATAATGGTTGGGGCCGTCTAGGATATGATCACAAACTGCAGACTTCCCGGAACGTTGATGCTTCACATCAGCTATATGTTCTTTTACGCGGGTCCTAATTGATCTTTTGGTTTGTCCTATATAAGAGAGACCACATTCACAATCAAGCTTGTACACTCCTGCATCTTGTAGAGGAATATGACACTTGACTGATGGTAGGAACTGACTAATCTTCTTCAGCGGCTTGTAGATTGTTCTAATAGAAGCTCGCTTCAAGATGTAGCCAATCTTGTCTGTGACACCTCTGACATATGGTAGTACAGCAGGCACACGCTCGACTGTGGCCGGCTTCACTCGGTCACTGTGACGTAGGCGCGGGACCCGAAGCTTGTTGTCGTGCAGAACTTGCTTGACGTGCTGAAGCTCGGCGGCCAGGTGTTTGCTGTCACAGATCCCTCGTGCTCTCTGTAACAAAGATTTGCCCACGGTAGCTAACTGTGAAGGATGGTGGTGAGATTCACCGTTTAAATATCGGTTTGTATGGGTCTTTTTCCTATACACAGTGTGACCAATGGTGTTATTAGGATTTCGGATGACTAACACATCTAGGAAAGGTAAGGAATTATTTGCCTCTAACTCCATAGTAAATTTAATTTTAGCGTTTATGGAATTAAGATGTTCTAAAAATGCAGTTACTTTGTCTGATGGTAAAATTGTGAAAGTATCGTCTACGTACCGCTTGTAGATCCTTGGTGTAACAGGTGCAGTAAAGAGGGCTTTCTCCTCAAAGTCTTCCATGAATATATCGGCGACAATGGGAGATACAGGTGAGCCCATAGCCACACCATCTACTTGCTTGTAAAACTCTTCCTTCCACAATAGATAGCCAGATGTAAGGCAATGTCTTGGTAATACTGCATATTCTGCTGGCATGTTATTTTCCTCTAGTGTGCTCCAGAGTTGGCACCGGTTCTAATGCGAAAAATCATGGAAGACAGCGTTCATGCACCCGATTCCTAAAAAAGTTAACTGATTTTTTAGGGATCGGGTTAACTTTTTTAGGGCAATAAAAAAAATTATTATAAAATCCAAACCTATTGTCATCACCTCCTTGTTCTCCAAAATAATGGAATCCATTATTAACAGCCATTTCATGTACCAGTTAATTAGTGACTGCCAGTACGGTTTCCGTCGGGGTAGCAAAGCTGATGATCTTCTTGCTTATCTAACAAACTTATGAGTGCAGGAGATCGAGTCCAAGGTGGAGGCTTTGGCGGTTAGTTTAGACTTAGTCAGGGCCCTCGATCAGGTTTGGCACAAAGAGCTTCTGTCGAGGCTTCCTTCTTATGGGCTTCCTGAGAAATTGTGCTATTGGATAACCAGTTTTTTGGCTGAACGGAGTATCAAGGTCGTAGTAGACGGTGCATTTTTTTTTTTTTTTTTTTATAGGCTAGGGTGACAAACGAGCACACAGTCCACCTGATGGTAAGTGGTTGCTGTGGCCCATAGACATCTACATCTATCCTCGATTACAAATCAAAATGCAGATGCGTTGTCACCAGTGAGGACTAAGATGGAATGCCTCGTTTCCAGTAAAAAGGGTCTCCGGTTCTCTACACTCACCATACGAAATACAGCAGCATTAAGCATTAAGCTACTATTTCACGCTGGTATTCTGTGAGAGCGTGGTCCTTCCCCGGTCGAGCCGACCCATTCGTGCTACAGCTATACTACTAATATAACTGTCGTAGTAGACGGTGCATTTTTTTTTTTTTATAGGCTAGGGTGACAAACGAGCACACAGTCCACCTGATGGTAAGTGGTTGCTGTGGCCCATAGACATCTACATCTATCCTCGATTACAAATCAAAATGCAGATGCGTTGTCACCAGTGAGGACTAAGATGGAATGCCTCGTTTCCAGTAAAAAGGGTCTCCGGTTCTCTACACTCACCATACGAAATACAGCAGCATTAAGCATTAAGCTACTATTTCACGCTGGTATTCTGTGAGAGCGTGGTCCTTCCCCGGTCGAGCCGACCCATTCGTGCTACAGCTATACTACTAATATAACTGCAGCATGGCTCTACCACGTAAAAAATGCATGCTCCAATTACAAGACTTCGTCAATCAACACAAAACGCTGTTTCTTCTGCAATCATTAGTTCAAACTTACATTCATTGTTAACAGACGACAGTACTGTTGATGCTTTATACACCATTCGTCCAATATTTCTCGTGAAAACATCACCTATCACCGGAATAATCTTGTTTCTGATAACCGAGACATTGCTGGACAAAATTTTGAATTGGGGGCAACTAAATCTAATCTAATTCAATCCCTAGAAGACACAAGTTTGCGCGTTTACCGCTAAATGAACCTCTTTGTCGTATCCTCTCAGTTTTGGGGCACTCCCCTTGTTGCCTCACCTAGTGTTGGAATCCTCAGCATCGACATATCAAATGAAGTGTGGTTTCGTGATCACTTGGATGAGAAGGCCAAACTGGTCTTTAAAAAATTTTGGCGTGCTAAGCAGAGCGGGACAGTATTTACAGTACACCATCTGCAAATTAACAAGGCACAGGTTCGGCCACGCATAAAATACTGTTCCCATCTCTGAGTTGGATCTCCCCAGTGCTCTTTCCATTTGACCGCATCCAGTGAAGAGCGGTTCGAATTGTCGGCGACCGAGCACTTACTGATCGGCTTGACTATTTATTTAGCACGGGGAGTGTTCAGAGGAATTTATCGGTTCAATTCCAGCCGCTCAATTTAACCATAGCACATCGCGACAACAATACCACCATCATGTAATTTAAAGAAGTTCTTCCTCGCACAACTTCCTTGTGGAATTGACTACCACCAGCGATTTTCCTACCTACCCTTTTTAAAAGGCCAGTTACGCATCTGCAATTCCCCTTGTGCTGGAGTTGTTCATTGACGGTGGTAGTCACTTACCATCAGTGAGCCACTCGCTCGTTTGCCCCCTCTCATATATAAAAGGACCACGCTCTCACAGAATATCAGTGTGAAACAGCGTAATTTCGCGTGTCGTATTGTGAGTATAGAGAACCGGAAACCATTTTTACTTAAAACGAGGTATTTCATCTTACCATCTTAGACTTCAGTAGATTTTTTCATAGGATAAGGGTGACAAACGAACACACAGTCCACCTACGGGTAAGTGGATGCTGTGGCCCATGGACATCTACATCTATCCTCGATTAGGAATTAAAATGCACGTTGTCACCCTTGAGAGAATGCCTCGATTCCAGTAAAACGGGTCTCCGTTTCTCTACACTCACCATATGAAACACAGCAACATTAAGCTGCTATTTTACGCTGGTATTCTGTGATAGCGTAGTCCTTCCCCGGTCGAACCGACCCAATCATGCTACAAATTTAATATGTCTGAAGTGTGGTTATATCACGTATAAAAAGATGAGACGAAGATGATGTATAATTCGATTTACGTGTGTTACTTTTAAGTAAAAACAGGAAGCGTCGATACTTACAGCAAATCATATAAAGTTTACAGAGGAATATTCTGAACTTAGACTTTTTAATGTTACGGATACAAATGAGTATACTACGCACTACACACAAGTTCACTCAGGTAATGGCAGACACGAACCTGAGGACATAGGTGCGACGGAACGATGTTCTGGGTGCAGGTGCAGGGGGTGAAATATAACATGAAAATATGGCTCGGTCGATCGAGTAAATATGTATAGTTTGAGATGTAATATATTATATTACTTCGCAGTGTAAACGGTTCCATTTAAAAGTACAGTGAGCGATATTAATTTATATCTCAAGATGTAATATAAATAATAACATTACATCCCATAGTGAAAAGCGAGCTTAATTCCATTAAAACAAAACGTAGCTTACGAATCCGTATCCGTATATCGTAATATAATCTATATTAAATAAAAAACGTTTCTGTTCTATTTATATTGCCATTACTATGTTTATTTCTATTTATATTTCTATTTCCATTTCTATTAATTTTTACATTTGTATGTGTACGCAGCACTGGAACATGTCGGCGTGGCCGGGCGGCGTGCTGTCGCGCGCGGCGGACACAGCGCGCTACACGTGCCGCTCGTCGCGCAACGCGGCCGGCCCGCCCGTCAACAGCACCACCAAGTTCGCCGTCGAGTGTCAGTACACTCTCTTTTTTTATTAATGGGCTCGTACTGTATAGCTATGAGCATTATATCATATAAATAGTTATACATAACTCACATAACTGTCTACTTCTTATAACCATCCGCAACGTTGCGTTTGCTTGAAACGGGCACGCATATTATTTCATCATCCTGTCATAATCATCATCAAAATCTCGAATGGGTGTCAATTTGTAAAATTATTGTGAATAGTTATCTGATAACATAGACAGATAAATATGTACATAAAATTAACTTTGAAATACGCCTGATTACCTCAGCAAGTCCTAGTGGATACATATTAACAACTTCCCTGTCCGCGAAATAGACACAATAGTTAAACAATCGAAATGTTCATATATGACTCATGGGACAGTGAAATGGTTAATAGCGACTAGATTTTGTTAAGTTGCCGTTACAAAAAAATAGAAACAGTTATATATATATAGTTAATTATGATAGCGTTATCCGTTGTACAATAACAATAACGTTACGTTATTTATTAAACGTATAACGATCCACCGCTAGTACTGTGACCGTGTAATGACTGTGCAAGAATATCTACTATCCTATATGGTCCCGTGAGTGTCGTTAGACGCGACTGTAGCAAGCTGATGCAGGAAATGAACAGTAGCACCTTCTTGATAACAACTAAAATTTTAAAAAAAATGCGATTGCCACGATTATAAAGCAACTAAGGCCAGTACCCCCCTGTCAAACGGTATATGGGAGGACCTGTGTTCAGCAATAGACTTTAAATGGGCACTAATAGTGTTGGTATAGGTTCGTACTGCTGCACTTCTGCTACCCATTTTTAATAGGATAAGGGTGACAAACGAGCACACAGTCCACCTGATGGTAAGTAGTTACTGTGGCCCATAGACATCTGCATCTATCCTAAACTACGAATCAAAAATGCGTTATCAGCCGTGACGACTAAGCTATGCCGCGTTTCCAGTAAAAAGGTCTCCCGGTTCACTACACTCACTATACGAAACACAGCAGCATTAAGCTACTATTTCACGCTGGTATTCTGTGAGAGCGTGTTCCATCCCCGGTCGAACCGACCCATTCGTGCTACAACTATATCAGTAATATAGCTGCAGCATGACTCTACCTCGTTTAAAAATCCGCCGCAGTATACAGGCCACGTCATTTTTTATAGTTTGGAGTTGTTATCAGTTGGGTGCTACTGCTCATTTCCTGTGTCAATTTTCCTCTGTTGGCTCCTACGGCACCCTCGGCGGGATACGAGACAGTGGATATTCTTACACCACAACTACTCGGTTAAAGTCAATTCTAACACGGTTTTGCCATTATCCTTTGTCGTAATCTCCTCCAGTCCGAAATTCGGTCACAACAACCACCCTCAACGCAAACAATCTATCTGCGTAGGACAGTGTTATTGTGTTCGTGTAAGCGCAAGCTCAGATGTGCTCTCGATTTTCTCACTCTCATAGTGCTACGAGACGGTAATCTGACACTTATAATTTAGTTATACAACTTTAATTATAATTTTATTTCTGGTATTTATGTATTTCTCTATTATTCTAGATGAACCTGAAAACATCACAGTGACGCCGGAAACTGTTTCCGTTATAGAGAACAAAATTCCCGGGAAAGTGGTGTGCTCAGCAAAGTAAGGAATATTGCAAGCAGTAAATAATATTATGTTCGTTATTAACATATCAATATTAAAGTCGGATGAAAACAATAACAATACATCACAATAGATAATAAATAGTTTTGCAAGACATGTTACGCTTTTGACGACGCCTGCCTCTGTTGCCGTTGTGGATATTTTACCAAAGACTGCCGTCTACATACATTATATTATGTTTACGTACAAGTCTTTATACACATTATTTGTATACATTCTATATATACAAACAATTCTTTTTTTTAAGTCTGACGTAAACGTAATGGCTTATAGCTTCTTTTTACCACACCCACAGAATAAAATGGGATGATGATTCCCTAATAATTAATTAATATAATCCAATATAATTAATATAACCCAATATAATTAATGATACAATAATTGACAGTTTTTAATCAATAAAGCAATTTATAGTTGGGGACTGGCAATTAATGATCGGTTCGAAAGATCCAACTCAATGTTTTTTTAAACAAAGGTTGTATGAAAACCGTTAGTATATTAACCCCTAGAAACGATCACTATATAAAGCTATTTCTAATATGATTTGTATAGTTAATTGTACAATAATAGATATATACTTTTTTTTTTAAATCCCGCTATGTTTTTTCTGGTCCTTGCCAGAACAGCGGTATTTGGCAGTGGTAATTCATACATTAAAATGATTTTCAAAACATTCTATTCCTTATATTTTTATGTTAAAGCCCGTGATTAGTTAAGTTTAGTTTATTGCAGCCATGTCTCTGGCGTGTACTGAAAATCAGCGTAATAATTACCGATATGTGGTTTATTTAACATTTATGCTGAGTATTTAAGATTATTTTGTGATAAATTAATTTATATTTTATATTTGGAACTTTATAAATTATATTATTCCTACTTTTCTATTTTAACTATATTTGTGTATATTATGTACATTGCGTAATTTACAGCTTTGAGTAATATTTTTCTTTCTTCTTTCATGGAAAATATTTTTGCAGAGGTTTCCCAATGCCCAGCTACTCCTGGCGTCGGGAGCATCCCAGCAAGAACCTAGGAAAAGATCACACAAATAACTCCTTGATTCTCTCCTCGACGAATACTCTACTCTTGGGTCCCGTGACGAAGAAGGATGGAGGCAACTACATCTGCGAAGCGTACAACAAGCACGGTTCCATCAATACGTCAGTGTTTCTGGATGTAATGTGTACGTATCAAGTGGATTTTTTTTATATCTCTGAATTTTTTTCATAGGGCAATGCCTACGCATATCCGCTTCTCGGTGACAATAACTAGCAAGGTTATATAATACTCGCATTGCCTAAAATAACTTGTTATTTCATATGCCGCATATGGGTAGAACTACGAGAACGGATTTGCACACATCCGCGACTCCACTAGCGACAATTACCAATCCTTTCTCAGTAGAACACAGCTCCTCTATTCATCTCCTCAGGCAATGAGTGCCTTCCTGCATGATCTCAATACCCACCTGAGCAACAAACCCCCTTCTCCCGAATCTCTTACGTAAAGGACTCTTAAAGGATAGAAAAGAAGTCTTACCTCCTAGATCTGGTCAATGGCAACGCTGCCCGCCCAGCTACAGCCACGGAGGACAGGGAGAACGGCGCTTTGCACAATGTATATTTTTATAGAATAAGTGTGATAAACGAGCACACAGTTCACCTGATGGTAAGTGGATGCTGTGGCCCATAGACATATACATTTATACTTCATTAAAGTTCAAGAATCAAAATGCAGATGCGTTGTCACCCCCGAGGACTAAGATGAAATGTCTCGTTTCCAGTAAAAAGGGGTCTCCGGATCTCTATACTCACAATACGAAACACAGCAGTATTAAGCTGCTATTTTACGATGGTATTCTATGAGAACGTGCCCCTTCTCCGATCGAGCCGACCCATTAGTGCTACAACTATCATATAGCTGCAGCGTGGCTCTACCACGTATAGCTTCCTGCTACAATCAAATTTCTTCAGCGTAGGATAGGAAAAGTGACACCTCGCAATACTGACACTCCTCTCTCCGCCAACAAGCACTTACAGCACGGTGACCTGGCTCCATAAGTCTCTCCAGAAATGAGAGGAGACCCGTGCAAAGCAGTAGATTGTAATTTCTTATTTATATCAAAATATCTTGCAATCCAACATGCATTTTTAATGCTACGATGTTTCGTTTATTGTTTGTTGACAACCGGAGACACGGGTAATAAAGCATCTTAGTCCTCAAGGGTAACAACGCATCCGTATTTTGATTCATAACCGATAATAAACATAGACATCTATGGCCTCCATATGCGCTTACCATCAGGTGGGCTGTGCGCTCGTTTGCCACGCTTATCCTGTACAAAATGTGCCTCATACACAGCAACTCTCGTGATCTTCAAAATCTCGACAACATATGCATGTTTAAACTTTGCTTTTGGGTTAATCTGTATATTTATAAAAAATCGCATCAAAATTCATTGCGTAGTTTAAAGGATCTAAGCATAAGTACAAACGACGGGAAGTGACCTTGTTTTATATTTTTTAAAAACGTCCCACTGTCCAATAGTACAATTTTCTCCTAATCTTAAGATGTCTGGAATAGATAGATCGCTTTTTAGAGATAAGACCGCCTTATTGTACCTATCTCCTAAATTTTGCTAGTAATCTTCTTTTATCGTGTTTATGGTATACAATAAAATAAATATATTAATATTGAATTTTTGTATTTATTCCAGTTGTACCTGAATGCGGTATAAAGCAATCTGTTAAGGATGGAGAACAAGTTCTCGTGTGCACTGCACAAGCAAATCCTGCTGAGGTAAGACTTTAGTTGTACGGTCGCTTAATTATATTTAAACGCTACTTTCACACTACTATCTTCTGTATTACCGAGGCAATTTACATTACGGGATTCGGACCTGCGGCCCTTGGCGCTGCAATTCATTGCCAAACTGTTTTACTCTACTGATTATTTTTTCGACAGGAATATTTTTAAATCAAGAATATATCTTATTGTCTACGTGTCTTACCCTTTACCACCCTCTCCTTTGTAAAAACAACTTTTTAGACAGTATAGCATTATTAGGAATATTTGGACCTTCCGGTCGCAAGCCTGGAGTCCAATGAATCTATAAATCTCCTATAAACAGTACCAACATCGCTAAAAACTGCCGTAATTTTCTATACAGGTTAATGACAAAACCATAAAGCTACTTGTAATAACGTCTACGTCCTCCAGAATGGCCGAATTTCGGCTACGGCAGTCAGCCTGAACGGAGCCTAGCCATCTCCGCAGGACAGGGTTAAAGTGATCGAGTATGTATTATGCAAGCACATGTGCACTCTCTATTCCGTCACTCTCACAGTCCCATGAGATGGCAACCTGACATGACTGGAGAGAGATCGGACGCAGGACTGCTTTGATCTTTGATTGAAGATGTCTCGAATCTTCCAACTACTTAATTCCGGGCTGGTAGTGAGAATATCTCGTCAAAAACTCATTAACTGATTTTGGTCTGACCCAGAAATCGAGTCTACGACCCAAGATCAACAGTCACGCTTATGATCTCGAGACCAACGGGATAGCCAATAGTGTACAGATGACAGCAACATGTTATATGAAAATCATTTGATAAGTTTATGTCTATTCGGTCTCCTACAGTAGTAATCCAGTACTAAAATGTTTTACTCAGGTGTCGTTCTTTTGGAAGCTTAAAAACGACAATGATAGCCTAACAGATGAAAAGATCTGGCAAGTCGGACTGCAGAGCTACCTACGCCTCAGCCCTGGCGTAGAAGTCTACCGGACCTACAAGTGCTATGCCAAAAACTCCGTCGGAATATCTGAGGCATGTGAGAGAGGCGTTGAAGGTAATAAAATAAATAAAAAATCATTTATTCCTAGAAATAGAGCTACAAACCTGAACATTGGCAAAAAAAGAGTAAATTATATTAAATTAATTTTAACTTATATTTTATTAAATTAAATTCTTATTACATATAAAAAAGTTACTGGCGAGCCCTAATCTAGGCATAGCCTGTATCTTGGGGACCAGAAAAATATATATGAAAATAATTTAAACCATTTCTGTGTTTTCAGATCAATTAAATTTATCAAACACTGCAATTAATATTCTTCCCACCCAATTATACACACTTCTATTTTTTGGATACTTTAATGTTAGGATTTCATTACTGGTGTTATTTTTTCAATTTAAGATAACTATACATTTACATCTACTTATTTAGTGTTCTTTGTTTTCAAATATTTGTGACCGAAATGTCAAAAAGGTAAAGTTGTTTAAGCAACGAATAGAAGGTAATTTTATGAACACAGCAATGATATGAATTAGAATGTAAGCTGGTGTGGCTGGCTGGTGTAATGTCAATCAACCTGTCAAGCACGGCGATTAAGCCAAGTCTTCTCTACATCAGAAGTTATCCAGGTCTAAATGTGAACTTTAAAGGGCTGATAAATAATAAGTAAAGAAGAAACACTTACTAAATATTTCTAAAAATGTACATGAAAACTTGACGGAAAAATGTTTAAAAGTGATCCTCTTTAAAATCCTGTCTAAAATGGAACAGATCCTTAAAATACTCTTACGATTTTAGTAAAACTATTTTTTATAGATCTAATCGCGTATTGTAACTAATTTTATATTCCCGACGTTACGAGCACGTTAAACCACCCATGGTCACGGGGAGAACTGAGGTATTCGACGTCTCAATTAAAAATTAACCACTGCTAACTTCAGATTAAGACTATAAATCTACGCCGTATGTGCTCGAAACTTCGGCGATATAAAATAAGTTAATATACGCGATAAAACCTGTAAAAACTAGTTTTATTTAAACGTGTAGTGCTCGCGTAAATGTAAGAAATTAGACTGTTACGAGCTAATGATGTCATAAAACTTTATTACCGTTGAAAATTTAAATTATAGTAGGTTTTTTAATATTGAGATTCCCTGGAAAAGTAAAGCATAATATTCTCGTATAACCAAAGTATCATGTAAAAAAATGAGAATTGTTTATATAGTATTTTTAAATCTCTTTGCCCCTACATTAAGAATGTTTTCTGCTCACAGCTAACCTGGAAAGTTACAGTAAGTGCTAAAATCCCTAAGTTAAAAGTGTTTATCTCATTTTAGTTTTTTTATAGTGAAATATAAGTCTTACTAATCTTTAGTGTAGTGTACTTTTTTAATATATCTTTTTTTCTTAATCTTACATTGTCATCTGATTCCGAGCTATTTTCAAAATTTCAAGTTTCTAGCTCATCGGGAAGTTAGTTTAAAATCAATTTAATAAAAGAGTTAATAAAAGAGTCTTGAAAATACTACAAATTCACGCACCTTTATGCAAAGTAAGATTATAGAAACTTTGTAGACAGGTCACTTGTTTTATTTTTTATTCTTCCCTTCCTTCTTCTGCCATCAGACGGTACTGCATCCACAACTGTGTTCTGGTTTGAAGGATCCTTATTTCTCAGGTGTGATTACGCATTTGTAGTGTTTATTTGAAGTTGAATAACATTATACCTTGGCTGTAGTAACCACTCACCGTCAGGTGTAGGTACTTTTTACTATTAATTTTAATTCAATGATGAAACTTAATAATTACAGGTAATAAGGTGTGGTGGAGAGATCAATACAAGCTCCTGCTATTCGGTGGCATCGCCCTTGCTATTTTAGTCATCACCGTCATTCTCTGCATCATCATCATTTGCATTTGTAGACGAATGAGGGCCAAATCTAAGTGTAAGTATACTATCCGCATGTTCTTATCTGGCTTTGTTAATATTATTTGTTTTTGCAACTTTCTGCTGTGTTATGTTTGTTGTCAATTTTGTTATCGTAATTTAATACTTTTGTTGCATTACCTAAATTAATTTTAAAACCATATATGGGATAATCACGACCTTACTTATAATCCTTGACAAATGCTTACTTAAATTAGATATTATTTCTATACCCTTCTCTTTCTATTTTCATTATAATAGAGACAGAGAGAGAGAGAGAGAGAGAGAGAGAGAGCATGTTATACATTTCTTAAGGTGACGTCGATTTTTATTAGTAAAGTCGTACACTAATTGCTTATGTTTTTGGAACAGACATTATAATTACACTTTTTGTTGCATCTAAATGACATCATTTATCGTCTACTTTTGCATTGAAGTCTTTACTAATTTTGCTTATTTTGTTTGTTCCTTTATCCGGATGCCGCCTAACAAATAACGCCAAATCAAATAATACTATACGGCTATAGACAATAATCCTGTGGAGTTAGAGGAACGAGAGAAGTAAGTATTTTTGTTTGTTATTAATCATTATTATTTACTGTAGTTGTCGAGAATGTTAGATTAGTAATCAGATGCTTAGAAGTCCCCAATGATATAATTAGCAACTTCTCTGTCCCGACATCAATGAACACTTCGATTGTTGAATTATTTATTTTGCGGACAGCGAAACTGTTAAACTTATTTTTTTTTATTGTTCGTAATTACCATTTTTAGTGCACAAAATTTTAATAAGAAACATTTATTTCTTTCTCTTTTTTATGTATTACCTTTTAAACTTCGTCAAACATTGAGTCAGGCTCTAACACACCGTATATAAGCGCAGCTTCCATAATTGTTGTTTATAGTTATAAAAAGATTAATTTTTTTAAATATTATATTTATATTGCCTTAACATTGATAATCTATGTGTGTATATTATTTTATCAAATTGTATATATTATAAAACGTACTATTTACTCAAATATTATATAAATATTTCACACTAGTTATTATTTTATATATTATATGTTCTTCCACCTTCTATTATAAACAAATTTTCAGCTACGCCTTTGGTCCGAGCAGATTCTTGGCACACATTGTCCATGCCACCGTCAAGGTCGCCTCTGATTGTGCCAATGCCGCGTCCTTGATATCAGGTCAATTCCAATATCAAAATTATGTTTGAGTTTTCGCCTGTACACTTGCTATATGCTTGGACCATCGGCTGAGGTTTATTTTACGTCATTTTATATTTAGATTAACTGTTTTAAATTTATTCATCCTTTTTACATCAAAGCATGTTTTTTTAGTTTATTCCTCCAACAAATCATCTTCACAAGTCTCAAGGTGCTTAATATTCATATATAATAACCAACACTCCGTCTTGTTTATACATGTCTATTCCTGTGTAGGTTCCTAACCGCTCTAACACCAGACGTTCTCAGACTGACTACAATTAATAGTTCAGGTATATTTTACTAACAAAGTTATTTATCACGTTCTGTATTTTCTGTTTAGATGGAGAATGCTTTCTTATTTTTTACTGCTATGTTTTCGCTCAGTTGCATTGAAACTCTCGTTATTAATACTTAAACGATTTTCTGTGTAATTTTCTGTAGTCGAGGTTGAAGTAGTTTGTTCATAAATAAGTAAGTAAATATCAACACTGCATGTAAGAAGATTGTCAGGAAAGCATTCTTCTAGATTATCTTATTTTTGTATAATTTTAATTATAATTAAAATATCTTACATTTTACATTTTTTCTTTATGTATCATCCATTACTCATATTTATAAATTATACTAGTATATAATTGCCTCATTTATACTTTGTTTTACATTAAAGTCAATTTATATTAATAATATATATTTTAACATTTTCATTCGTAAATATCATTTATTTATTTTATATATTGTAAAAACCATCATAAACCTATTTATATATTTTATTCTCATTATGATTACGTTTTATAAATTAATAGTTCATTGCATGACCCTAATTATTTTGTTTGTTTCCATGTTTTTGTTCATATAGTCCGGATGGTAGCTGTTTGAACGAGGTGTCTATAGCTCAGTCAATCATATCGCAAGCTTTGCCCGCTTTATCGCCGCGCATCAATTTATCATTTAGCCCTAAATCATCAGACCGGACCCGACTAGTCGATTCGCAAAGCTATCCTCACAATTTAGAAATGAACGGATTTAAAGAAAATACCAACACCAGCAGCCTGCAAGCAAGTTTATCACAGTTAGAGGCAACAATCAATTCAAATAAATCCAAAATCAGATCTGACGATACTAACAAAATTGAAACACCGAAAACTGAAACAAAAAATGATCAAAATAAACCCCAATCAGTTGTTACACCAAATAAATGGCCCTTAAAGCCGGGGGTTTTAGTGCACGTTAACTCAAATCATACTTTAAGTCCAAAAAATCAAGCTCGACTTCAAGCCGCAAATGTAACTAAGACTGTAGATACAGAAGAAAGTAATTTAGGATTACTAGAAAGAAATCAAAGTAACGTAACAGAGGGCAATAAGACGCCTCCTAAAGTTGAATACTCAAAAAAGAATGGAAAACCAAAACGACATTCACACAACGTCGTGTCAGGAATCATTAGAAATTTCCGAAAAAAAAGTGACAACGGTTCAGATGACGAGAGTGGAAAATACAAGAAAATTAATAAATCTAACAGGAGAGCTGTTTCACTAATGAATTTTGGTAAAACCGGATACGGTCTTCCTAAGAAACGTATTAGGTCCTTTTTCCAAAGTGAAACGCCGAATGTTATTGTTACCGAAGGAGGTAGTTCTTTATTTCTATAAACACACATTTTGACACCATCTTAGACAAATGTATGATAATATTTTATATTACCATCTAAGTACATTTAAATATAAAAACATCTAGAATTCAAAACTTTCGTCTATCTTGGAATATCATTCTTTTTGTACATATAAATAGTAAACAAAATATTATCATACACTTTGTCAATATGTCACCAATCACGTTTCTGTTTTATATTCATTTGCTTGTTTTGGCATGGATTTTCTGTTCTTTTTTGCTTAATTGTTGTTTTACGTACATTAGTAGTACGCACGTTTTGTGTTTATGTTTGTAATGTTTAATAATTTATTGCATGTTTTAGTTGTGTCGTTTAAAAGGCCAGATAGAATCGCTCCAACAAATACTAATGTTATGTGTATTAACGACTCTAATTCAAGAACCGCCAGAAAAAGGAAAAAGCCAGGAGACAGTAAGTTATTGTATTACAGTTAACGTGCATCAGAGACAAGCGTATTTTGTTTTATATTTAAGTATCTAGTCATTATGTAAATCTCAGTATTGGTAATAGTATTCCATCTAAAAATAGAATACATAAACGTTTGTCTTTAATGTCCTTTTTCACTGTAACTGCTTTCACCTGCAGTCGATACCTACTAACCTTGCACTAATGTAAAGACACTTTTTATTATTTAAAAACAAGCAAATAGCATAATAATTAACTAATAGGTACTTGTCAACCAAGAAATCTTGGTACCAACAGTTTATGACATTTAATAGTTATACAAATTCAAAACTTTCAACCTTAAAAATGTCATGCCAAAAATACATTTATTTTTCATTGTTTCAATTACTCATATTATTTTTTTTCACTCTACAGGCCCACCTACGAATGGCGTAGATAATGCGGCAAATGGTAATTTAGGAGCGGAGAATCCAGGTCTCTACGAGAACCTTCCGTTCCACGGTCTGCAACAACCACCTAATAAGGTACCTATCACTTGATAATAGTCATAACTTATTAAATAAATTTGCTTGATTTGTTTATACTTGCATTAATTTAAATATTTTTTATTATTGTTAATTTTTTATATAATAACTAACTATAAAAATATAATTCATTATAGATACAAAAGCTTTCTGATTTTTGTGATTAAATTCAACAGGTAACAAAAAATTATTTTCTGTGTCATTTATTACATTTCCAAAAACACCAGAAAATAGATTAAAAAAAATTAAATTTATTTAAACACTTATAAATCTTTTACTAAATAATTTGTTAACCAAATTAACTTAAAAGAAGTCCTTCTTAAGCTGGTAACTTTGAAAAGTTGCTTTGATCTCATAAAATTTCAGTTGTTGAATAAAAAATACATAGCTAATTTAGCAATGATAGTAATTTTAATAAGCAACGTAATATTAATCTTTTTTACAACTAGTATAATATAAATTGATGCTACTGGTTTTAAAAAAGCACCATTATAACCTAATTATGCAGAGTTATGTTCTAAGTACGCAGAAAACATTTTGTATAAGTGTTTATAATGTTACTAAGTCTGAGAATAGAACTCAAATTTATGTTTGGATAAAAAACAAATGAAAATAATTTTACCAATTTTGTCGCGCTTAATAAGAAACTATTAGAAACAAAGCACTAAATCAGAAAGCCCAATAAACCTAAGAAAATGAACGCTAGTAATTTATTAACAATATACATTCATAGTCTCACTGTTATATGTAATTGTATTTTGTAAGCTTGTGTGTTCATTTGCATTTTTAATTTTCTTTATTTTTTATTTCATGATTTTGCATGCGATATAAAGCCTGTGCAAGCAATCCAACCCAGAGTTGTTGAACCTAACCAAAAAAATAACAAAGGGATAGAAACATTGCAAAAACAATTGACAACAAATCCATCGTTCACTCCAAGAATTGTATGCCCGCCATTTGTACAAAATGCCATAAATTATCCAGTAACATCGTTATCTAACACACAGTATCAGGCTACATATGGAATTCCAGTGTTATCGCCGATTCAACAAATGTATCCATTACACCAAACGGTGTTGTTAAATCCGTATCTGCCGCCAATGCAACCATCGTTTCTAAAACAATTTCCAACTATTGATGAAGAGGTAGAACCCGACACAAGAAAGTTTAGCTCGCTAAATACTCGAAACAATAAAAAACCTCCTCGATTTCAATCGATGAGAATTATCAGAAAAAGGAATATAGAAAGATTCTATCCAAACACCGAATATGGAGACAACTTCAATGAAATTAACAACAACAAAAAGAATACAGACAATTCAGATAACGACAGAGATGTATTAACAAATGAAGATACAATTTACGCAAATTATCCATCTTTACTTAAAACAAAATCCAATATAAGTGGCGTAGAGCAGTTTGAGAATTTAACTGATTCCATTGAGGTTTACGAAGAGCCCAATTACCATATGAACCTATCAACAAATTCTCTCAATAAACCGATACCAGCTCCGCGAAAAAAAATATCGCCATTCAATTCACCACTTAAGTCCGATCACGTCTATGTTAACCTATCTATGCCTCTTATTAACACTTCAAACCTAAAATCAGTTGACATTGTTGATGCTCCTGTACGATCAGCAAAGTCTGTCGAGAACGTGTCGAAAATTGAAAAATTTCCAATTCGTAACGCCAGGAGCAATTTAAGCATAGTTAAAAATATAACACCAGAAAACGATGAAACTAAGAATCGTAATGAAAATATTAACAACCAAAGCATAAGCACAGATATCAAGAAGCCAAATATTGTGGCTACAACACCAAAAAGAAGTACAGTGACCACTTCTATTATATTACCTTCCAGTTCCTTAGTGAAATCAGTAGTAAGCCAATTGAACGATCAAGCTAGGGTCAACAAAGTAGGTTTACCAATAAAGCAAGTTATAGCGCCAAATAAAACCTTACAAATACCAAAATTGGCTGAAAAGCCTATACCAAAAAAAACATTAGTTAAACGTAGTAATTCAGTTCAAAGTAACTTAACCATAAACAGTGATATTGCTCAGGTATAAATAACGCTTTGTATGTTTTCGTTTCTTTTTATCATTTCATTTAGTTTTATTTTTTTCGTTCTAACACTATCATAATAACAACCCCATGTCTTCATTTCAGAATACTAACTTACTTCAACAGCAATACATTCAAAAAAGAAATCATTTTACTAATTTAAGCTCTAAAGGAAAGAATAAGAAAAATTTTCAAATACCTCTACAAAAGCATCATAGCTTCTGTTATTTTCAACCGATTAGAGTCGACAAACGGATCCCCGTTGACCAAGAAAGGTCATATAATAATACAATAGGTCCTGTTATATACCAAACGGGGGATGTTCAATATTATACAAAAACATTGAACAGAACAAGAGAGAAGAACAGTCAAAAATTAAATCGCTTGAAAAAATCTGAAAGTCTACGAGAAAAATTATCCTGTGTTGGAATCTACGATAACTACGAAAAACCAAATTACCCAGATCCAGAATATAACGACTCTGAGAGGAAGTCATATTTGCAGCTCTTAAAAGGGAACTACATATCAAGTTCTTCAAGAAATATTAACCCAGAGTACAACTGTAGCTCAAATTTCAACACGGTGGGTCCCAAAGATGAAAGACCCAAACAAAAAAAATTAGTTTACGCTGACTTAGCTCTAGGTAATCATAATTTAAAATTTAAAAACACAGTCAATTCAAATAAACACTTATATGATACCTACTCTATAGGAAATGCTGATACTAACAAGGAAACTAACAGTAGTTATAAGAATAATGTATTAAGCAGTCAGAGGAAAGGCAGCCACCAACATAGGAGTGACTACGCCACTCTTAAATTTAACGAGATCGACGTCTGAGAGGTAAGTGGAAAAATTTATTGTGAAACTACTCCCAACCGTTAAATTCTTTCACTGGTTACTGTATCAAGTCTCACAACCAAATGTCATCTACCAACTGATTTTTTTTTTCTGAATAAATATTGTATTTCTGAGAAAATTTTGAAATTTTAAACTTATTTACAATCAACATGTTTCAAATATAAGAACAATTACTTATTTCAAATATTGTTTTCTAACAAAAGTAGCTTTTTAAAATATCCTGTTTTGTCCATTGCAAAAATTATTAAAAACAAAATGGTAATATGTGTCTAAGTGCTTCTTTTCGCTGCCTTTTAGCATGATCAGATAGAAGTGCCAATATAACTTCGATTATTTATACAAAAGCATGACCTTTTGGTGAAAATCCGCAAATAAATTCTAGTAATCCACTGCGTTGCGTGACGCAACATACAATGCGATTCAAATAAGAATAGAAACATCAATGACCTCCAATAACTGCGATTTGTCAACGGTCCTTAGAGTAATTACATACATACGCAACGGTCACTTGAAAAGTACGGCTTGCAAAGAAGATGATGTTCCGTATTAATAACGTTTTTTTTTCGCTTTATTTAACTGCGTCTTAGTATTACCAAATCTGTTGAACTCATAATTATTATTATAAAATTAATTTTATAATAATAATTATGGGATAAATTAATTTTAAATATTGATAATGTTATAATAATGACTATAGTCCGTTCGCGTTAAAAAAAATAGTGAGTCATCAGTGCAACTAAAGGGTAAAGGTGTATTCACAGTGGAGTAAAAATTCTTTTTTTTTTCAAACATTTAATTAAGTTTAATGGAAACAAATTTTCTTAAAATTACTTAAATCACTAATCAGTATCACTTGATTCTCCATTTACATTAATTATGAAAGAATTTTGTTCTGCAAGTTCCATGATGTCATCCAAATTCCACATGGTATTTTCTTCGCGTATCACGTGGTCGCAGCACTTCTTCCAAAGATTAGCGTCTATTAATGCGCTATCTTATCTAATAATTTTTTATGTCACTCATTTTGAACGTGGAGTTATTGGCACCGACATAATTTTTTATTTTGGCCCAAACCAATTTAATTGAATTAAGTTTGCAATGATAAGGCGGTAGGCAAAGAATTGTAATGCTATATATATATAACTTATATATAACTTTTGGCAGTCTCATCTATTAAATATTTATTATATTGTGGGGCGATTTCGGCAACTTTCATTAATAATTCTTTTTTTAAATAAGTCTTGTCTATGGATTTGCCTTTGCTTTGCAGCCAATCTATTATTTGCTGCTTGTTCCAGCTGGTTGTTGGTATTTTTTCGACTCTTACAGAATGATAGGGAGCGTTATCCATGACAACCACACTTCCTGGCCTGACTTCAACTGGTCACTGTAAACTCGACTTTCTAATTTCTTGCATTTTAATTGGCTGGGGGGCGTGACCAGGCCGGCGAACAACGATGACTCACTATTTTCTTAACTATTGTATTAACGCGAACGGACTATACTCAGACAGTGATACAGAGATAAGCTAAATTGAAATGCTAGATTCATAATAAATACTTTATTGTTCATGGTTCTTTAGTAAATAAATATTATTTTAGAAATATCTGTTTTGGTCACTAAAACAGATATTTTTAAAATAATTTTTGTTTAATAGTTTGAATTGACAGCTATGAGGTCACAATATGACGCCAGGTCAATCCTATTCTTATTTGAATTGCATAGTGAATGCTTTTTTCTATAAGAAGCATGTCCTCGCAATGTTGTGAAAGTTTTGTATTTCTGTTTTCTAGGCCCGTTTTTCCAAGAGTGACACGTACATTTTTTAAATCAAGGTAACTTATAAATTCTTTAATTGAATTGTTGGCTTCTAGCAAATCTATGTATTTATTTGGCTAATATTCTGCTTGTTAATTTTTAGCTTGTTTTATTCTTGTTTGTTTATCTGTGGTCATTATACTATTTATTTATTATCACGCTCCTGTAATATAAAAACTGGTTCAGTTGATAATTCTGAACTAACTTTAGTTATTAAAAATAATACCACCAATTTTCTGCGTTTGATATTGTCTATGCATTAACCAATTTTATATTCCTTTAATCTCTTCGGTTCTATCGTAAGCCTAATAATATATATTTTGGAACACTTATTACTTTAAAACAAAAGAAAGTAAATTCACAAACTATTTTTATTTATATAATTTTAAAATTTATTGCTTATATGTGTCCATATACAATGTATTTAAAATAGTTTGTTTGCTTCATATAAAACAATAACTTCACTTAACACATATTACCTAGCGTTTTATACTGAATTGTTGCATTGTTTTTATATAGATTTTTTTTTAAAAAAAAACAGAATTCAATCTGGAACTTGAAAACTTACAACAAATTGTTCTATTTCTACTATATTATATTTCAATAGGCGGCAGGATTCATTTTCTGTGTCGGAATTCGTCTTGGTAGTTTCCAATCTCTTACCTATTAAAAAGCGGTGCGAGTTACGGTCCGAGGAGTATAGAGAGCCAGTATAATTACATGCTGTAAGGCATTCCATCTTAGTCCTCAGGAGTGCATCTATAGCCTTCTCTTTATCTTGTTGATTGCAAGTGTCTATAGACAGCAGTAGCCACTTCCGATCTAGTGTATTGTAGCGTATTCAACAAGAAATAATCTAGCAATAAATTATATTTAGTAGGATCCCGTGAGTGTTATAAAAAGCTTTCACTGATCGAAATGCCCAGATACTGTGTTTTCCGACAGATAGTTGATGGCATACCTGTTTTGTTAGACCTGAGACCGAGAAGGTGCAAGTATCAAAACATCTTGTGCTTTTGTTACCAATTTGCCTGCAAAACGTGGTGATTACTAAGAGTATGCTTAATATTGGAGTTATTATAATATTATAAGTTAAAATTCTTCTTGTATGCTATAATTAACAAAGAAATCAACTTCCTTAATAATGCACAAGAGACACAGAACTGTCAATAGAGCCATATTTATAAAGACAAATATAGATGCGAATTTCACACATTCGAGGAATGTTTGGATTTGGACCACTTTGTTTGTTATTAATTCATTATTGAATGTGAGCTTCTTTCATATGAAGGAAGTTTTGCCATAATTAGCAAGCAAATTGGCGACCTTAGCACCTGACGTTTCGCACCCTTTCGGTGCTGGATAACAGAAACAGAATTTTTTTCTAAATAATACTTATTAAAAGTCACTTTTTTAATTTACCATTATATTGGGCCAAAACAAAAAATATACATAGTCATCTAGGTTACACTAGATCATAATTTAAAACATTAAAGACATTTTTTATAGAACAAGGTGACAACGAGCACACAGTCCACCTGACGGTAAGTGGATGCAGTGGACCATGAACATCTTTATGAATCAAAATGCATCTGCGTTTTCACCCCTGAGAACTACGATGGAATGCCTCATTTCTACTAAAAAGGGTTCTCTACACTCACCTCGCAAAACACAGCAGCCTTAAGCTGCTTTGTTACGCAGGTATTGTGTGGGAGCATGTCGGTAGCAAGAATAGGTCGGTCGGTCGAACCGACCTATTCTTGCTACAACTAATATAGCTACAGTGTAGCTCTACAACGTAGAATAATACTAGTAATACATAACAACAAAGCAATATACTAAGTTAAATATTTCTTTTTACAGCCTTTTAAACCAGACGACCAGTTTGTGTACGCTGACGTCGACCTTAAGGACTACGGGCCTATCAATTACAAAGCCGCCTCTATCTACGCTCAAATGAAGAAAGTAAAAGAACAACAGAAAATGCAAGAAGTGTATGAGAAACAGCATCCCGAAGATGATATGCTCTGATCGTAAATGCATGAAGTTAATAGTCTAATATTAAATACCTCAGCGACCGCGACAATAAATAATAGAGTCCTGACTATCAAACGAAGTTCTTCTGAACCAAATTCATTTTTTTCATCACCGATCGCGACGATCGGTCGGAAAACAATGAATTTGGTTCAGAAAAACTTCGTTTGATAGTTTAAGTCAACAGTTCTACTATCAGTTTTTATATTATACTAATATAATATTTATTTATAAATAATTATGTGTCTGTAAATCGATTATTCCTATTGTTTTAACTTACTATAGTTTTAATAAAATATCCTTGTCAAAAAAAGTAAAGTAATATGTACTTGAATGGTCATATTATTAAAAAATCATCGCTAAGGTGTTTAAATACTGGAATCAGCTGTTATGCAAATCTTACGACAGCATATTTACAAACTACAAAGTGTTCCCTATAGATAAGCATGATCAAATAAATATGCATTACCTTAGTGCACAAACTTATAAAACATGAGCCAGAGAATCTAGTGGACTTAAAGTTACGTATACAAAGAACCCCAAATATAATAAATAGCCTATAAATGTACAGACTAGCGTACTGTAAACACATTTGTAAATAAAATGTAGTTTTCTTATATAAATATTAATTCTAAATCAATTAAAATGTTCTAAATGAAGGTGTGTTGTTAATGATGACATCGTTTCGATATACACATTATCAATTTTTCAGTTATATTCGTGATATAAAGAATTTTTAACTGTCAATTTTTTTAATAATTCATTAAAGTTATGTATTGATTCTTCTCTATAGATATTGATTCACCGTCTTCTATGTCTTCAATGTGACAGAGGATGGATCGATCGATCTTAACTCTAATCTAAAGTACCCATTCCTTATTTTACATTACCGGTTTACAAGAAATGTCTTATTATAGCTTTATAACCTAATCTAAAATCTAAACCTAATCAAAACTTTAGAAAATATCTTTTTTGAGTGAATGTGACTACAGATCTTAAGCTCCAAAAACTGCATCACCATTGTAAACTATCAATTGGTTAAAAAAGGTACTCTATCAGGTATTCTGCTTTAATTCTGAATATTACTTTCGATAACGATGTAGTTGTTAATGGGTGACGTTCTCCAC